AAAACATTGAGAGACAGAGTCCCGAACATTCAAATAAGAAAACTATGTGGGACACAAGATATCGTTCGATGGGGAAGATAGAGAAGACGAGAGTGGAACCAGCATGTTTCACGAATGTACGGAAAGAAACCAGCTCGAATACCAGGGATTTAAAACCACCGGGTACCAGACCACCAGAGTCAGTCTACGTGGCAAATACGACTGCAGCTGTAGGGAAAAGAGGTCGGAAAATAACATGCTCAAGGCCTAATATCAGAAGAAGAAGTAGAAGACATATTTTTAGTCTTACCTACTGGTCCACTCTCCCCTACTTGGTTTTGCGCAATCAAAGGGCTTGAAAAGTAGTAGAGAAAAGTTTTCTCCCAATTTTAATTAATATTTTCAAAATAACAAAATATATTTTCATAAATAAATCTTTCATTTGAAATACCATACTAATGCTAAAACCCCATGAACGCATTGACCATTAGGTGGGGGCCAAAACCCTTAAAGCTTAAGAGTGCTGCAGATGTTTTAAGTGGACACCCTGTGTATGACAATTAATTAACAATTAATAAACCAATATCGAATGATATTGACAGATTATTCAGCAATCTCTAAGTAATTGGTCAACCACTAAAAATGTAACTGTTATCAGAATAGGTACCGTGTATTTTTATGTTTAGTTTAACTTGATACCGAGATAAAAGTTTATAACACAGAACAAATTTATTTGATTTTGCAGAGGCCATACAGTAGTTGCTAAAGTTCGTCATCCTCTGCCTCATCTTCATTTAGATCTAAAATAAATTTAGATTTAATGAGCGTTACTCCCAGGTGAATTTATACTCATACCTATGAAAGATAAGTTTCATCCGGATGATCTCCACCTACGATAAATTATTTGTGGTTTTAGGCATTCATTATTCATGAAAGTTACATTCAATCGCATTATTTTCTGAATAAATATCATTCGGGCGTATAAAGCAGCGTCATTTCATTACGGGTTTGTCTTATTTGGAATGTGTTTTTAGCCGCAGTTTTTTGGCATGTTTTTCTTTTCGTTTTCGTTCTTTTATAATTATCCTTTTCTTCACTTTGCTTTAATTGGAGCTTTTACTGAGTTATTTCTTGACGTTTTTTCGACGTTATTGCAAATTGAGTTTTCTCTATATTTCGCTTTCATTTTCTCTTACGCGTTTCGAGAGTTGTTAAATATTATCCAAAGAGCAATAAATGTCCTTCAGTCTTATGTCTTATGTGTTCTCTTTTATTGTTATTCTCTGTTATCGCCAGAAATTTCATGTATTTCTATTGCTCCTGGTTCCTTCTGTATTGCAGCATGAGTCAAGACGTCTGGTATTATGTTGACGTAGTGAGTAGATGATGGTTCTAATGAGACATAATGAATTGTATTTTAAACTGTTATCATAACCATAGTGATTAAAAGTTCTTTATTCACTTCTTTTAGATCCAAATTTATTGAATTTTATTATTAATTTCATCTACAGGGTGATTCAAAATTGGCGTCATTCCTCTGAAGGTGTTGTCTGTCGCTGTTATAGGAGTACAGAAGAAATAATAAAAGAAATTAATTGTTATTAAAAACTATATCAGAAATACAGCAGCAATGTTTTCCAAGGTAACCTGCCTAATTAACATTGCACAAATACCTGTTGCTTCGTAATTATTAAAAACTCCGGTAACCATGCAATTATACAGAGTGACAATAA